TGCTCTCGCAAATGCTGAGCTAAATAGCCATTCATTCTGCTAATGTCAGCAGCACTACAGTTGCAAGTGAACTGAACGATAGCACGTGGAACATTTTATCCAGTCGCAAGGCACAACTGGCTTTGGTAATCTCCGATGCATGCATTTGTGCAGCTGTTATGCGTGCCTCACGACCGATCCATGATTTCGACTAATTTGGTAATACGATTGGTCATTTTCAAATAACACAATGACAAACGTTTTCTTCCCTTCGATAGAATTTATTTATTTTCCAAGAAAATGTACTTGCATGAAACAAATTCATTTGAACATTGCAATAAAATTATGTATTTGGCCAATAATATGTATTAGTGATCCAAAGTACAGTGCACGTCCACGTGTGGTCAGTTATCTATTTGGTCGACCAAACCGCATCCAAACGCCAGTTATGGTGGACATTATTACGCACAGACGAGAATCAACATGGAATGAGAGTCCAAAAGTGCCGGATTCCATGTTGTAGTAGATTGAACAGCAAACACTGCGGCCGTTGCATCTGAAGTAAAGGAAAATGGGACAAAGTTGTGTTCGAAATTTTATTTAATTCATATTCATATTCGAGTTATGAAGAATGGAAGAGAGTGAAAATTTACTTGGTTGACGATGTATGGCATTAAACGAGAGTGAGTTTGCCTAATATAACACGTTTTCTGAACATAACAATGTAGAGAAATAATTAGTTCTGTTGAGATCCGAGAACGACTAGTTAGCAGTAATAGTACCAGAGAAATGGACAGATTTATCCTCCGGTTCATCACAAAGGAAACCGGTGAAGCAGAAGAAATGACACTGATAAATGAGATTTCATCCCCGAGTGTTATTTTTCTGATAAATATATCAAACTGCCTTGTGTGTGTGTGTGATTCATACATAGGATAGATTATTAGGAAAAAAATTAGATAAAGTGAAATAAGAATGCCTCTGCGTGATATTGGAGAATGAGAAGAGACGCCAGGCAAAATGTCAGTGCAATGAATTTCGTTAACCTGACATTTACCTGAGCAAACACGAAGTCAGTGTGATCTCAGATGTGAAGTAAAACAGCCGATTGTCTGACTGTTTGTAGAAAATAATGAAATCATCGGATATGGCCCATTCCGCTTGAATAATTTTTCCGACACATTTCCTTGGTTGTTGTAAATCTCATAAACTACATGGGTTGGATATTTGAGCTGCGAACAATCACGGAGTTTTTCAATGAAAATTCGGGTAACTGGACCGTTTACATCAATCGGCTCCCTAGGGCCCCATGGCAAGTTCGTGTCACTGACATTGATCACATACGAAATCCAACCAGGATCCCCGCAGCAGCGGTCTTACTGACTGTTCGTTGATCTATTTAAGAATGCAGAAACTCTAGTGAAGACGATGTTTGTGGATGGGACTAGTGCTAGTATCAGGGGAGCTCTCCTCCCATATATGATCAAACGCGAACCACGAGCTTGCCCTTCAGTACATGTGCTTCGCAATATGTCCCCTTGTTTGGAATAACCATCAAACAAATGCCAACCGCGACCTCCGCAAAATTGTCGGAACATGCCTAAAGACCACAATATATCCAACTTGACAATATGATGAAGAGAACCACGGCAATTCTAGCAGACATGATCAGGATTCCTCAAACGTATTGATAGTGATGTGTTATCTGAGTAATTGTTCTCCAAATGCATATATATATATATATGTTTCGGATAATTAAGGATATTCTAGTGTGCACCATTTCCTATTGTTGCTCACGCTCTTCAGAGTCCAAATAGGAAACCGTTGGTTCTCATGACGTAAGGGGTGGGTTTTGCTACCTTTAACCAACAAACCATCCAATGAAAGATGCATTCTGGTTGAAACGTTGTCGGTTGGTACGTAGATGCTGATTGACAAATAAGTACAATATTTCCAAGTTCTTGTGGATTTCTAACCAATTTCATTTTTGGGCAGATGAGTAAAATGAAAAAAAAGGTATGGGTGGATCATGTGTGTTTGGGTTAATGTAAAACTGTCAGTTGGTACTTTGTATGCAGATGATGCATCCTCATATCACGTGGGATCTCTGTTCGTGGTCATCATTTTCTATCTAGAGCCATCTGTCCTGGTATGCTCATGAACAGTTATGCCAAAGTGAAGGAAATAATAGTTTCGTCTATTTAAATGTTTGAAGTTTTTGGAAATGTTTCAGAAAAGCAACGAAGCGTTTTGTGTCCTTCCTGTCCTTTGACAGGGATGGACACAATAGACGGAGAGTGTTTTTGGCTAATTGAAAGTTCGAGGCTGCAGTCGACAAGTAGATTGGTCGTTAGGTCACCTGTGGTTTGTGAACCTTTGGAAGTCTGTACATTCATAAAGTTGGGCTCTCCGTGGGTTTCTCTCCTTTGTACGGTTCTTCCTAATATATATATATATATATATATATATATATATATATATATATATATATATATATATATATATATATATATCGATCAACTCGTTCAACTGACACTTCGAGGTTGGTAAGCATTACGTCACCCTGGCAAAACCGACGGCGAAAAATAGAGAAACGGACGGACGAGCAACAGACGAATATCGTGCGAAACCACCCGTCCCATTCACACCCTCATTCACTCACGTTTGACCGCGAGACCTAGTTTAGATCGAAACGTCACCATAAAAGTTTTAGAATTCGGAGTACGCCTTTACCTCTCTATAATATATATATATCCTATTTTCCTGTTTTCTCGACATTCTTCCGTTTCCATGGGGACGATTTTGATTCCAAATAAAGAATTTATCGAATAACCTAATTGAACCCCCGACCAGATACCACCACCCTATGCGGACTTCCCACTTTTGCACTCTTTGTGTAAAAAGTGGTGAGTTCTACGACGATATGTAACGGAATACAACGGTACCTTAAGTGTTCTGTACTTTCAGTAGTGGACAAGTCAGATATAATCGAGTTTCGTAAATAATCTTGACTACAAAATGTAATCAGTTTGTAAAACACCAGCATTTGACACCGAACAATCGGTTAAAATAGGAGTACCAAATTCTAACTGTGTTGAAAATCGTTCTCAAAAGTAGCACTTTCAAGTATTAGACAAAATTCAGTGTCGGTCCAGATAACTCAAGTGATCAGTGGTTAAGCTAATGTCTGGGTCAAGAATCCCTGCAGAACACCCAATAGTTTTATCGTCCATCACGTATTTCACTAAATTTAGCGATATGGTGGTAAAAGCTCTGAGAAGATGAATCACTGAATGAGGAAGGAAAGCCAGTGTTAGATCTACCAGCCGAATTTGAATGCCATAGAATAAGTCCGGTGTCCAGACCAGTATGCGAGTTACGCCCAACGTCAGTAAACGACTTTTGGCACAACGCAGTATAAATATGCGTAGATATCTGATATTTCATGAAAATGATTACCACTAGGTAGCGACCTGTACAAACCTAAGTTTTTGTCCTCCTCCGGATAGATAATCCGCCACTCAGTATCATAGAAACTGTACAGAAACAATCTCCGGCAGTCTAGGGCCATCAGGCCAGTGCAACCAACCACAGTATCGACTATCTAACAAAACCAACTTGCTTGGGGAATCCGGAACATTGTATTGAGATTCACATTCTTTCCAGTCAGAGGTGGGGGTAGTCGAGCGAGCATAGCTGAACGGGGCTGACATGGGCCATGCTGACCAAATGGTCACAGGTATAGGGCTATCAAGGAGTACCTTTGAAATGCGCGCGTTTCTATTTGTGCTTGTACGTGCTCGTGTGTGTCCTTGTTTGTGCATGGAGAAGATGATCAGATATATCAGCGACGAGTTACACAGAAAGTCGACCATAAATTAAGTGATTAGGTGTCTAGGCCAAGACCAACAAAGGAGTTCAGCAAATAGTCATGGCAGATGCAACAGTCATTTCCGTTGTTAGAATCAGCAGTCATATCGAGTTGTCAAAAACATTGCACGCTAAATGCGCTTTAGATCAACACGGTGTAAATGCACTCTCTAGGTTTTGCCTCCTCACTCAACTACACATTCGCAAACCCGAACATACCAGTGAGTGACCACATTTACTTAGCTCGGCTGCTACCCTGCCAAATCAATGATGCTGACAAGCCCGACGCATTCAAACCTAAGCAGTACAATTATTTCTTGCAACCACTGCTAATTTAGAGATAGGTTGAAATCACCCACTCACAATTCGCTCACCAGTAGACACTTTACATATGCCTACTTGGATGAGCTGACCCATCGTGCAAATGTGCACCAGCTCCTAAATTTATGACCTGGGGTCCCACACAGCTCAACGATGTCTAGTGGCTTGTGTGATTGCAAAGGCGAGCAGAAACCATCGTCAAATCATAAACTCAAACACTGTTTACCTTCGATGATGGTTTCTGCACATTCGGACAGCTATGGTATGCTCTTTGGTCTTTCTAAGCTAACACCCATGGCATCGCCACCAGGATCATCAAACCCCAAGGCAAAACTTATCGAACCTTCATTCCCTCAGTGCTCCTATTGTCATTTATTTGTTGTACTGGTCACTGTCATGTACCATACGGAAATGCTGGAGAATGCCGTACTTCTTGACCTGTAGGATTTTACTCGGAGGCAGCAACCCGTGAAATGGAAATCTAACCTAAATTAGTATGAATCATGCACTTGAAGAGTAATCTCTCACCTTAGCAATCCCTCTAGTTTACTTTCAACCAATTCAAACTTTATATCTTTCTCTGTCCTTCTAAGTACCCATTGAAAATTGTGGTTGGTTTGCGAGCTGACGACCCCTCTCCAAGTCTGGTTTGTATATCTTTCTGCGTTTTGTCTCTATGTGGGTACGTTGTGCATTGGTCTTCTCATTGTCGGTCTAGAATCACTGATTTGACCAAGCTGTGACCAATCAGATAAAGACGCTTGAAATAATTTGCTTTAGTGTCACTAGTCATTAGACCAGTTTGACTGGGTTTAAACAGAAATTTCGCCATGGACGTGCTGTTATTTCGTATGAAGCGAATCGTTTCCTATTCCGTTCTCTGGTTCTTCATATGTTCTACTTCGATCAACGGTAATGGTGACAATTGTGAGTGTTTCTCAGCTGAATTTTAATTGAGTCTAAGCTTGATTGGAATCACCGGGTCACATGCCTTTACGTGGTTAAATGGAGCATTATGAATAATTCATTTTTCAGCATTTACTAGTACTGTTTTAGTAAAACTGTATTCGTTGTAAATAACTTTCACTGTGTTGTTTCATTGCTTGAAGTAGTTCACATTTCAGCTATATCGCTTTTTAAGTGCGTCAGATTTATGACTGAGCACAGTTGAAAATAATTGTGAGCTACAAATGCAGGTTTTGATCTGGCCAGACATCGAATCGAACTATGGATGTTTCGATCCTCGACTAGAGTCTGGTTGCTCGTGTGTGACTATGCGGTAGTTGCCATGTATGTGTGGTGTGTGATCGAATACTGCTGATAACAGATTTTACTACAAATATTTTATTACTGATGAAACCATCTTACTTCTGTGTTCCGTGACAGATCACGGAAGCTGTAGTACTAACAGGATATGGATTGATTCCGTCATATTGTGCAAAAACATCTTACAAACAAAAAAACCGAAAAATCTTGTCATTGAATGAGGTCGAACATTTTAATTTTGTTGATGTAACGATTTGTATGGGTTTACTTTGGATTTTCCTCTGTTTTTAGTGTGTTGATACACTACCATTATTTGCATTCATTTTGGGCAGTTTATATTTTTACATATTTATATATATATCGAAGTATTTATTTATGACTTCTGTCTGTATGTGATTTTCGCAAATTATATTGCTCAAGTCCAATGCAGGAGCACAATCAGATTTCGGAAGGCCATAATTTGCGTTACGTGTACTTCAACAGACTGTTTGGCTACAGTTATGAGGGGTTTGTCAGAATAGATGACTGCCAACGTGTACCATAACATTGAGTGGATCAGGGGGAACCCGCGTTTCCGTAATACGACAACAATAATGTTCATTTGGTTTTGAAATGAACGATATCCGTCATACATCGATACCAATGCAACTTTGGATTTAAAACCTGATATAACGGAGGCCAAACATATTTGGAATGTATTTTGCGTGTGTGATGTCATAAAATCCAACACTTTGGTGATACAGATTTTGTTTATATTGTTTTTCTAGTTTTTCCAACTGAAGCTACTATTGGAGTGTCGTTATTACTGGATCACTTATTCTGTTACATTGGAAAATCAAGTTCTGACTTTTGAATACGGATTTATTTACCGCATCTCCAGTGCTTTGTAAGAATAACGACTCAAGGCCCAATGGATCAGGCGAGTGAGGCAACCTACTTAGGAAGACAGTAAAGTTCACGAGAATGAATGGCTGTAACAATTGTTTTACGGGCTTTTCGGTTGAAACTTTGAGCCGCAAAATTTGTTTCCTCACCAGTTAGTTCTCGAATTTGAGAGGATTACCAACTTCAACTTGAATGAACTGCATGAGGACACTAAGGAATAGGCTCAACTTTCCGTTATATCGTGGACTTTCGAAATGCCACGCAGCTTGGTGGTTAAATTCGTTCTAACATACATTTGTATGGAGAGCCGAAAACATTTTTGGATTTGCATTTTTTCCGATGCGTTTATTTGAGGCGTTAGCACATTTTTTTTATTGTTATCGGTTTCAAAATCATCTTCATTTTGGCTTAGGTTACTGATGAGGTGGATTATAATGAATCAAAGGAATTGATGTCAGTTCATTGCCCTTACTTGAAACCAGTAGTTGAATTTCACGGGGGTTTCATTTTTCTCCTGAGGAAAACAATAACAACTTTACTTTGTTCACCTAAAATGTTTCGGCTGTTCCTCATCACGAACATTCTTGAATGAAATGCAAAGAAAATTGAGTGGGGCTCTCAGCCAACGGTTCGTAATTGCTCCTATTTTTTTAATAAAATCCAGCAGGATGCTTTCGAATAATAGCAGCATATGCCTAATGAAGTGCATCAAATGTTTCATATTGGGGTAAACCATATTGTAGTTGTTTCCTCAATAACCCCGTGCTTTCACTCGTCGAGAGCTGATGAATTTTGCTGTGAAGTTTTTTTCTTTCAAATACATCTGAGAATTCTGCACGTAAATTATTGAAAGTCAGCATAATGAGTACCCTGATCAACTAACAGTTCGCATGTTTTTTCTAAGAAAAAGTCAATCATTTTTGGAAAGGCAGATAAAATTGTGGTTCCCCTGCATTTCGCTTAAGTTGACATTCCACGCTTCATTATCCTGGATTTTCAGGATAAGGTCACGAACTGTCGTGCATGCCGAAATATACATCTGTTCACTCAGTGAATTTTGACCAAGTTGTACAGTGACGATTTTCCGATTTTCTTTCGTGTTCCAGCTCTGACACAACGCATCAATGAATTGAAGTTGAACTATCCAGTACTAACACAAAAGTGGAATGAATTTATCTATCATGCCAACATAAATGGCCTACGTAAGTGTGCAATATACACTATTTGAAAGCAAACATAACGATGCATCTGATTCATCCCAAACTGCTTCACATCATCCATACTACATGTACTTTTGGGAAAATAAAATGGTTCCCCATTGGCGGGTTTGTTGCAGTTGATTCTTTAAATTGGGCCGCATGCGGATGTTGCATGTGACAGGTTCTGAGGATTTTAACGGCCGATCCACCAACAAACTGCTTTTGCCCCTATCATAAACTCTGGCACATTCCTATTACCAACATCAAAAGTCGTTAGAATATGATTTTTCAAGTTTTCATTCTTTTAGGAACACTGTGCTCAACTGCGGGATTTTCTTAAGGCAAAAAGCAACGATTAAAAGTTGAGCGTGAATTAGTTTCTACTATTTATATGCGGTACGAGATGACGGGCAAGATCTTATGAGAATGTTCTTAATTAGCAGATGATCAGAGGGATGAACTGCACTTGATAACGTACAATAGTTCACTTGACTGGCCGTAGTTTGTACTCCTGTTTCCAGGCTCACAACTCTTCTCTTGTTAGAGCCCATCAGCGGTACACATCCATTATCACTTCCAGGGTTTGAACCCGAAGGATTTTCAACTGAAGGGCATGTTCATTTTCATTGCAACACCTGGCATGCCACCGGGCTTTATCATATGTCTTCCTTTACTGCATCCAGCAATGCCCGAGAGCTTCGAATGTAGACAAGGCATCAAACCTTGGCAGGATTGAGACACTTTACCCATCTGCCCGCTTTGCATTTTCGATATTCGTGAACACTTCACAACTGCTTGGCAGCAGTTGTCGAGCACTGTCGGCTGTCATGGTGGACAACTTCTGGACAAACTTAACTCAGTGATTCGGGTTGGATCGGTTGGGCGCGAGGTGATTCAGTTGAAAGAAATACGCGCTTCAGGTGCAAATTCTGGTGTCGAAACCCTGAACTTAGCGATAGATATGAACCATTGATGAGGTCAAACGAGAGAGGAACTCGAGTCTGGTGCTCCCGAGGGCAAGGTCGATCGGATGACCTGAGGTGTGTGAAACAAGTTCAAGCAGATTGTATTCAAAGTCACATGCTACTCGCAGTGTAAAGTCTGTCCGAAAAAAATCGCGATCACCTGGATTTGAATAAAACCTGACATACAGTCAATTTCCACTTTACAGAAATGATACTTCTCTCGGTTGCTTAATTTAAACGATAAGCCCTATTCTCTAGCAAGGAGGATTAGTATCAGCGGGTAAACTTGGAATTCCACTGTATATCAGAATGTCGACCGAATTGAAGCGGTGCCGAAAATTTTTGGAATGAATGTGCATTTATTTCACTTTATATATTTAAACTTCGAATGCATGGGTGCTCACGTATTTGCTCATGATCGGAAGCTGAACGTATATAGAGATCTTGTATCTGCTGAAGGGCGTGGACAAGCAGACCCACTCACTTAAAGGCGGGTGAATGTTCCAGTTAGATGAAGTGTTTCATTCAATGAGCATAGAGAGGCAGACAAAAAGGATAGGGTTATTTTGGAAATTCATGCAAGTAAGACTGGTTTATAAAAGAGCGTCTGCTTTACATTGCCTGTATTTGTCATATCGGATGTCGAGCTGTTTATAGGATGGTAAATTATGAGCAATTTTTGATAACTGATAGTCGATAAATAACTGAAGGAATAAATCAGTCATATTTCAAGTCACATCATCCTGGTGTTCGTAGGCGACTGAGGTGTGCAGATCAATCACCGAAAATAACTAGTGAAATAATTTGATTTAGATCACAGACATGAGTGGCAGGTTGAGAGCCCAATGCCGTGCAATACTGTTTCCTTTGAATCACTTTACTTTCAGGCGACCTTTGTGTGGAGGCGTTCCCCGTCATTCTGTTTTGATGATGTCATCACCTCCGGTTCCCACAAGAAATTCAATATGTCATGTAGCCATTAGTGAGTATATGTATCTGTTATTGATGCGAGTTGTTACCAATTCATTTGGCATCATGCGATCAGTATGTGCTCCCTATTTATGTGTGTCAGCGCCCCAAAGTAAGTAATCGCTTTACAAACCAGCTTCTACACTTGTGCACCGTGTGTTGATGATAGACAATAATAATAGGAGGAATGTTCCGTAATTTGTAATTGTGTGTATTTGTATGTACTTGTATCCGTTATGAGGCACTACCATTGTTCGAACCACTGAATGCGTTCGGACCGAGCCTATCTGATCTGTTGGTCGATTTTGGCTAGTGCAAAACGCACGCAAGCACACCATCATCGGCCTCTGGAAGTCTGGGCCTTGCACACAAATAAAACCAGCACAAACACCAACTACCATAGCTCACACTCCGCTGTCGCGTGAGCTAATTATCACCCGATGCATAATTCGGCCATCGGCACATGTTTCTTGGTTGAAGTTGACTCCTTCATTCTCCCTTGCTACATCTCTCTATCACTAATTAGTGAGACTTGTTTCCCACTCTTATCAATAATTCGTTCTCACATAAATATGATCTTACTTGCTTGGGAGTGAAATCATGGAAGCACATTTATTATCTTACAACTTTTTTTCTGATTACGATGACGAACTTACATAGCCATTTGAAGAACAAGCGACAATTGGGTCATATTGAATGTGCATTGTGCATTGAAGTGGTGAAAGTTGGGATAATTAGTTCAACTGCATAGTCCACAGTGTGCAAGCTGGATACTGGAAGGAAAGAGAATGTACGGCACACATACGTGCTTTGCGTGTATTTTATCCCAAATTCACGGTATCATTTGTTCATGCGGCAAAAGCTACTCATATTTAGATTGTATGTTCTGCATCGAATTGAATGCGATCGCTGACGGATGCTCTACGGATATGGATGGCAGATAGCTCGCAACATGCTTTTCAACTATGAGTTAGATCTGAACAAAAAGTGAGGCATCATTTCACAAACCATTTGAATGCCATTTTCATTGTAATGCATCCCATTATTTGGGTTTCATTTGATCTTTCCAAATCGAAGCATCTCCTGGAGAATGCTCGTTGGACATATCAGATATCTAGTTCGACGACAATACTAAAAGGTCTCAGTAACCAAAGCTTAACTTATTGTTTTCCAGTAAACAAGGAAGCACAAAACGGACATGTTTTATACGTACGAGCCTGTGATCAATACTTCATTTGCATTTGAACTAGTGTTGTCAACAATCAGACGCATTTCAACCAAGCTCAACACTCATAGGAGGGAAATTAGACATGCATGTGAGTTTATCAACGTGCTTCCGATTTTTTTATAAACACCATTTTAGCGTAGCTGTTGTGTAATGAAATACGTGAGGCCCCTTCACAGAATACCTAGGGAAGGTCACACAGCACCAAAAGCGGTAACCACCAATTACTGAGCTGCGGGGAAGAACTTATTCTTAGGAACTCAGACCAAGCCAGTATTCGAATGTTTATCGTCATTTAGGAAAAGAACTAGACACTGAGTTTCCAATAAGTTAGGAATATATATAATTCGTGGTACACCAAAATAGCAACAATGCAGTGTTCAATAGAAAAATCAAGAAATTGGAAGTAGAAAATAATTAGCTTTAAATCAAGTAGCCTGCACAAGTATAGGCGCAAAGCTTCCGGGGTCTAAAGATTGGTATTTGGTGCTCCGTTGCTCCGAATTAGTGAGACACATTTTGATCCTTTGTCTTGAGTCGTTTCGGCGTCAGTTAGCAAATGCCGGTGGTGAGTACTTCACAAAAATTAACCGATGAAGCAGGTAGTTGTAACCTTTTATAAAGGGGAACTTAAATGTCAAGCTGAAGACTGAGGGATTCATCACAAGTTAAAATGGCTTTTTACGGGCTACTTAAAACAACACCGCAAGGCAACATGGTCAGTTCAATATATGGGTGTTGGAATGGCGCCAGACATGAAGGATCAAGGCAGATACGTGGATCATTCGGAAAACGGGAAGGAGCGAGCACGGATTTGTCTTTGTGGTACTTCTCCGCAGACCAGTACAGTACTCATGCACAGTTTTAGCATTGCTCAAAAATATGATCTGATGTTATAACGTAAAAGTACAAAACTGAATGCTAGATTTGTTTAAGATACATTTGTGCGGGAAAATGCATCATTAACTTCAACAAGTCCACGTACGTGTCCCACACTCAAGTTGATCCTCGGCTACGGGAGCTGTATTGTCCCGGCGAACTGTTTTTGCAAGCACAGGATTTGTCTGTGTAAGCTGGTTGTGATCGCCTTAGCAGTGGTAAGGATTGGTTGTCCGATTCTTTTAGAGCAGTCTGCCGGCATACGACAGATAACACTAAATGGCCCATCCCGCGTTGGTGTGACCCGTATTGATTGGATGGACTAGTATTGCTCTGGTTACCGTCTTATTGCTCCGGTTGGCTATCCATGTCGGACAGTGATCTTGGATTACATCGGACAGGCCCCAGGTTGTTTTTTGATGTACTTCTCCCTACAGAAGAAAGCGTGGAAATATACAGAGCATAAAGTAGAATGGTCAGGCAGCACGAAACATGGTTTAATGCTGAACGGGGTTTGCAACTGACTTGCTTTGAATATATTTTACAGCGCTTTAGATGACCTGCCGGTCATTGTTTTGCAGCTCTATCCTCTTTGAGTTCTATGACAGCATTGATGATCGATTTTGGGACGTTGAGACATCCTGGTTGAGGATCTTCGCTCATGTATTAACTGAAAAAACTATCTGGTTGCCAAAATTATCCGGATGAGTTGCCCATTTGGTTTATGGTAACTGCCGTTGTACACTTATCCGTTCGCTGTTCATCGCAGGAGGAATTGGAGTATACCATCCCGGTTCCTTTTCCAGAGCCAGTATCCAGGCAGAAGCTTTCGTCTACATGCTTTTTAATAACACATAAACCGGTGATAAGGAATTAATGTGTATTTTCCCATCCTTGACATGAATATATTCACAGGAAGAGGAAAAAGTGGAGATCCCACTGCTATGCCATCCATTTGTCTCAGGATGTTTCTTCGTACAAAAACTGGAAGAGTTTGTTCAAAATCTCGAGGAAACAAACAATAATCATTCCTTTCCATGTCACCGGTAGTTATGCTAAGACAAACGGAATGCGTGTTCTCGAATTGTTCGTTTTACCGCCCATAACAAACATAGTCAGTTTCCTGTAAGACACAACATTAAATCAGGTTTAACAATTAAAGTGGGCTAAGTCAGATCAGATCACTCTTCTGTCTCATGACCAAGCTCATCTCACAGATCATAATTAAGCTATCTTTAAAGATACTTTCGAGAAGTGATCAACACAAATCTCAGATGAAAACAGGGATTCAGGATGACTGACTCACAAGCAGAAAACACTGCACAGTTTGGTCATGGTCTCAAAGGTATTCTTCTTCTCAAAAACGAATAACCTTACTCAATAATGTGCACGTCGTCTACCCAATTCTGCTCTTAGTTATCTGTACTGATTCATGACCAACAAAATGAAATCAAGGCATATTCCCATTTGGTTTTGTGGTACACTTTATCGTTGTACGTGAACGGAAAGTATAAGCGATCTTTTGTAAGTTTCACATTCAGTTATTTGTAAAGTTGGTCACAAAAAGGAAAGTCCCAGATTCACCGAAACAAATCCGGTGGCATACGGAGCAGTCGGTCAGACTTCTACATCACTAGCCACACTTAATAATTTGAACGTCATGATTTTAATGAATGGTTGTTTCAATTAGCTGATTAAATTGTGAGATCCACAAAGACCAGTGTTTGCCAAACACTCCTCCAAAACATGGTAGGCAATAAATTACGTCCTACAAGCACTCGTTTGCACTAACATCCTTTACTGTAAAGTAATTGAGAATCAAGAATAATGTTAATAATCGTTTACAAATCGACAGTCAGTATCCAGCATTGTCCGTGAAATCATGGAATTGAATAATTTGTAATATATGACTTTATTGGTATAACCTCATGCAAAATTTTTACGTGCAAATCTAATTAGGAAGCCACTGCCATCAATTCGACTCACACTTTGAGTATGTCAAACAGAGATAACCTCAAAACCATGATCCCATAATTCCATCATCCTACTAACAGAAGGAAGCACTGGAGGATGACATTATTTGTTTCATTTCATAAAATTATCAAAACGTGAAGTGGTTGCTAATTATAGTTCGAATATCTACATGTATTATTCTGATATCTCAAATGATCATCGTTGCATCGTATAGTACATCCCATTGGTAAGTGATTAGAAAATTTTTATGATGTTTCAGAACAACCAATTTATTCGTTGGTTTTTTTCGCGCGAATTCCCTCCAGATACTTGTCACCCCATCTGCAAACAACAGACTTTTGAACAATAGAACTCATTGAAACTGGGTGGTTGTTCATGTTGTGCTCTCGATAGCTTAACTAATGATTACAATGGCCTACTGAAGAAAAACGAGATCTTTGGAGTTCCGATAAGAGTGCGCATGAAAATATGTGAACTCAGTGTAAGATTTCATGAATACGAGAAAAACTTTCATCTTCTCAGTTATTGAGAAACTCCTCAAAAATCAATCAACCGTTCAAAAATATGCTGTGGGCTTTTTCACTTCAAGTTTATGCACAATCGCAAAATGTAGGCATAACGGTTTTCGTGGCCGTACATATGTTTTTTCTTCCCGTTCGCAATCACAAAGAGTTTTCACAAAATGGTGTTGCTTACTCAGTAAACAAGACATACTTGTATAGATTTTTTCAAAAAATTGATGTATTTGCAATAAAACTCCTCTTTTTCACCGTCCAATTTGCTGCAGATTACGACAAACTAGGTAAGTTTAGGTAGTTCTGTTGTGCTCCATGTATTATTGTACTTGAAGTGGTCATTCGAGTTAAAATGAACTAAAAGGATATATGATTCGAATTTCCACATAGTCGGTTTCTGACTTCTGACACAGTGTAAATTTTTGACCATATTTCGTTTCGACTGTTATGGTTTGGATTGATTTTCACGGGATGTCCAAGTGACCGTTTGGATGAACATATTTCTGGACGAGTCCCGCACGGCCAGTTAGAAATAAGGCGGCTGTTTTCTCTGACTCAAAATATCGGTATTTTTCATATCAGAAATACGTCAGAAATGTGTGCCTATGAGAAGACTCCTGATTGAAGACATAGGCTAACCTATGAAAAGCGTACAGTTGGCTGTCAGTTATTAGTCATAAGAGATTAACAGAACTCGTGCTGACATAGGCGAACTGATATATTTGATAATTTGACTTCCTTTTTATCTTGATTTTACCAGTATTTTGGGCACGACATGAACTGCAATTGTCTTTCTGTTATTCTTTCCGATTGATTCAGAGGCCAGTTTGGAAAGATGTAAACCAACGATAAGATCTATGTTTGTTTTCGGTCTCGGAATCCAAAGTTATATGAGACAGATAGGAAACGACCCACAAAGTAAGTACATATTCTCCGGAAAAATGAGAATATTATTTTGGGGACAGTTATCGTATTTTTATTTGCATGGCAATATAATGTAATTACTATGCCGAGTTTTCAGATATTGTGCTCAAAAATAGAAGGAATATGAAAAACAGGAAGGATATCATGAATAATAAAATATTCCGGTACATAATAAGAATCATTATAACTGGTATATTTTGGTAAGTGAAAAAGTACAGGGGAACTCAGTTAGTCATAGAGTCGTGTATGTAAATCAGTTCAATCACTTCCCGAAATAACTTGGAATGATCCAGTTTTGAATCAGATCGTGTGAGAGAATGTTCCATTGGAGACAGATATCTAGTAAAGATTCTGAACTTGAGGTTTTAGAAAAACTTGACTATGAACAACATCATCAGCGTATTCAAATAAATCGGACGAAGGGAGATTCCGTTGGGTCATTGCTATATGAGTTTAGTGAGAAGGAACAAAATAAAGTCATCATGGATAACTCCAGAATTGTTGACGCAACGTTTGGAATATTTGTACCCGACTCATTTGTCTGAATTTAAGTATGAAAATAGTCAAATAATTGAGCAAGAAGTTGTGGGGACAATCTATGATATCAAGCTGGTGAAAAAGTGGAAGGAGTGCTGAATCTGATTGAACGGGGTAATATTATTCTCAAAACTAAATGAACATCGGGCAGTTCCAACTGGTCCGTTTGGGGTTAGGATTCGGGGGGTGTATTCGATAGGGTTCTTAGGTGACTAAATATAGCTGCAATCTCATTTGAATCGAATGGAGCGTGCATTGGCAGAGAGTCCATTTTGAGAAACATATGGTGATTCTTCCAAATTGGATTTGTCGAATAACACGGCTCACCTTCAGAACGAGGGCGAATCAACTATAGAAGAATCACCGTGTGTTTCCGGAAATAGGCTCCCCATCCATACGCACTCCATTCGATTCAAATGAAGTTAAAGCTGTACACCAACTGTGGAGTTCTCCAGTATAAGGACGACTGGGCGAAAGGATACCGGGTTTGCATAACCGATGAGCATCAATAATCGCGAAAGTGGTCGGGTGCTTCCGGGAAAATGTTGTCCTGTCATCCACACACAATACCATACAACTCATATCGAAAATAACTAAATATACCCTACTGGACGGTTTTACTTTTGGTGATGTAAGAGCTTTTAAAAACAATTTTTCCCGTGTCGTTTGTGTTTTGACCCTTGAGAATCAGAACGATGGTGAATGGTCTCCAAAGACAGGGAATGATCATTTTGACAAGGATTCACTCAGAAGCGTTGTTATAGGCTCCTCAAAATGAACAATTCAAAGCCAGATGATTACAGGGGAGAGGCAATCCGGACCTGCATTGTGGAGATCTAGACCTTAAAAGATGTGCTGAATGTGGAAAGGGGTACGAAATCTGTGCTAACGCAGAGACAATACTAAGGAGGTCTGTAAAGAGAAGCTGTAAAAAAGTAGTGTTGAGGTAGTCAACATCAGTCTCATCATGGCGGAATTTAGTTACATGAGCACAGATTAGTTTTATAGTGTGCCAGAGAGACTTGAGATTCTCGATCGTCAGCATATTCGGTCCTTCCATCTCCACCTTGATTAGGTGAAAGTATTATTTGATGTTGAAGCCTCTGCGAGACTTTTATGAGATTTCCATTAGCCTTCCCAGAATCTTCAGTAGTGAAAAAGCCATCATCAATAAGAATATAAGTAAATAGTTTAGCAAATCGGAAGAGGAATATCTGCGTTTTTCAGGGAGATTTTACTGTGCGAAAGGTTTCAAAGGAGAAATCTTATGTGATTTGCTTCTGTGAGAAACCCTGATTGTTTGTAAAATTATGGATTACGGAGGATGATTGGTGGTTACTTTGTCCAAAACAGAATTTGTCCTCATGCGGAGGTTTTGACATTTACTACCCCGAGAACAAGTAACGATTATGTACCAGTTAGATTCAAATCGCAACTAATAACGTTTAAATTGAAACCCCCAATAGTAACTACAAGTGGGATAAATGCATTGTATGAAGAGTTGGTTTCTGACTGTGATCAAAAGAGGGCTACATGCGTGCTCGTCCTATAGGTTCTAATTTTACTTGTTGTACTTGTTTTATTTGTATCTCCTAAACGAAAAAACCTCGGTAAACTTGAAATAACCAAATAGTCAATACCTTCTGAAGGGTAATGAATATAACATTTGACTTGCCTCTAGGATAATTTGGAGTAGGTCGCTACCCCCCCCCCCCCTATTTCTTCTTCATGATGACCTATCTTGACAGCAGCACTGAGATCAATATACTTGCACCAAACAGTCATCACTCATGTTCTGCAACCAACCTCAAACATAAACTACACTTCTGTGAACATGATTTCAAGTTTTCACAGTGTGTGTTGGATTTGATATCTTCAAGAATAGTTATCGTGGGTTCATACTGGTCACGGAGGGCATAGTCATCTTGGCAGAAGAGATGCTGGTGGGAACAGTTTGCCATCCAGCTCATTGAAGTGTTTTCATCCAGATTCGATGTGTGCAAACCGCAACCATACATAACGGCCATAATTCTTTAGAAGTCCCATTTCCGATGGAGAAAAATTACGATGGGGTTGCATGCAAATATAAAAAAACACGAAACTTCAAAGTGATTGGTTGAGGGAAACCTAGCTCAGCCGATCGAAGAGCTCGCCATAGTGTGGAGCAAACTACAATGAGAATTCTGCGAAAGCAAGTGTGTTTATCAGTGAAAAACCTTTAGCTGAGGATCGCTAGTAGATATCACTCAATTTACATAACAGATCTTAACTTCGAACATATGAGTGTTTTATGACAAGAATATATTCGGTGTAACGAATTGAGCCTGGATCTTGGAGGTTAATTTACTTCAGATTTTATTTGTAATGCAGTAGAAGAACATGTGGGAACCATGTTCATTGGGGCCTTTCGCGTTTTGCAGTGGTAACCAGCTTGACAGATCTTCATATTAGGCCACAGCGATTCGTGTACAATACTCGTTGTGTCAGTTCCATGTTTTGATTATATTGACTCGATGATTCTTATTTTTCTTTTGAAAAATGCTTCAATTCCCGCCAACTTCCTCAGCTTTCCTACCGTCAGCAATCCGAAGTGCAACAGATTTGGCATATCGGGTATTCCGGATAATTGACACTATCATTCTCGAACTGGATTTTGCAGCAACTATGTCAAACGACTCTATCAGAGGAGATAAATAGCATCTGGAGACTGATAAGGGACGTTCAGGACATGGATCAAAACATGCTTTTGTAAAGTGTGATTTCGTTTACATTGCTATTGTTATTTTGCACCTCGATGTCCATGACTGGTTCAATAAAACCCTAAATGCGTCTCTCAGAAAATGTTCTCAAAATCAAGAGTGGTAAGTGGTGAAATGTGGTACAGTGGAAGTCAGAGCTAGTGGTATTTTTCAGTGATATTCGAATCAACCAAATATGATGCACATTTCCGCAAATGTAGTTTGGAATGCTTTTTCTTACATTCCATTATATGTATACCCAACTAGAAATAATTCGGATTCGCGAAGCACTCACACTTGAACATCAATTACCAAGATATCGAATTTTGATTTTGCGGTTTAGCTACATGCTAATACCGCACCAAAGTTGAAACTGTCATTGTGACATGTGAATTTGTGTTCGCACAACTTATTATGTACGAACTGTCCAAAAAAGACCAATAAACTGCAGAGGTTTTGATTGGAACCTTGACTCACCTTCACACTTCACATGGTTTTTGTCCGAAACGGATAGTTGCGCTGCATATAACATCAGGGTTGACCGTTCAAGAGACATTCAAAACCGACCTTTGGTCTTACTAGTAATATAGATTGAATCTTGTGAACACAAACCCATTAACCGTCTGATAAACATTTCATCAATCATGGAGTGCTCATCTTCAGAATATATCCATTTTTATTCCAACACAAATCACGTTGAACAGTCGGCACCTTAGCTCTGCTCCACGCACGTGTTCGGAAGTGCTATGGCTTTCGTGACAACCAAAGACGGTAAAAAAGCTAACGAAGAAAATAATATTACTTTAGTTCAAACTTGGTATTTATAAATTTCGCCATGCGAACGAGATGATAAAAGATAAGGATAAGGGAAGAAATTCAAGTGAATGATTCATTTAAATGTGGATAAAATGAGTGCACAAAAGACTCAGTTGAAATATAAAGTTCAAAACGGAATAAGTGGAGTGTTTGACGACTTTTGATAAATGTCTTCTCACGGTTGACTTAGTTGAACTGATATCAATGGAAACTATCAAGTAAACAAAGCCAAGCCTTATCCAATGCGTATCTCAATTCGTGAATAATACGATCACAATGTACACAAGAAACAATGAAAATCAAAACAAACGCCAAATGGGGTAGCGAAACCACACATGAGAGATCGAGAATGAATTTCAATAATCGACCATTCGAGAAGAGTGGAAAGGGACGATCAATCACGAGCACCGGGCAGTGGCAGTGTGAAATGACAATCAGAGTCACAGAACAGGAAGGAGATTGGAGATTGTCTAAGCAAATGAGCAACATGAACGATGGATTAATTAGACTGCATGAAGGGAATGAAGCATGATAAGGGTTCCGTGTGAAGACCAATGTATCAGTGATCTGAGAAACACGGAGATGAAGGATTTTGTGTTAGAAATAACACGATATGAAAACCGCAGTTCATCGATGAGTGATACGATCACATATGAACAACGAACGAGCCAACACGAGACCGAATATAGGGACACAGTTTGTGTTGGAAACAAGGACTGGCGAATATGCCACATAATCTGAGTGGTAAAGGAAACTGAGGTACGGGAATGAGGAATGATCGAATGTGAGAACGCGTATGCAGCTAGTTCAACACTCTTTTCTAGGATAAATTTCACACACCCACAAATGTGCATAGACGGGTTTGGGATTTTGAAGTGCGCAGTATTGCATTGTATCTGGATAACAGGACTACATTTTTCAGAAGCATATGACGGGTTCAAATGAGATGGCAGCCGTGATCCAAGTGAAGAGTGCTCAATCGAAGGGAAAGTGACGGAAGAGACCACTGTACATGCATATCTGATGAAGTGAAACAACCACCAAACTGGTCGTGTACCTCCGGGAGAACGTTTTCCTTCCATCGTGATGCAATACCATACTACTCATATAAAATATCCTAATTTGGGACCACGTTTCCTTGTTCTGATGTTTGAGTGCAATATAATAACTTCAAAGATTCGCTGAGTGATTTTGAAAAGAACTCTTCTTGCATACAAGCTTCCTTAAAGTCAAATGAGATTGCAACAGATTTGGACTGTCACCAATATAGTCCGTCATCGTTTCTCATATTTTTTTGCGTCAGTCAATGTGATGTATGGGTGTCAACCTCAATAACTGTGAAAGAATATTTTTCCGCGGCTTTTCCCTCGAGACGTAAAGAGCTGCATACTCAAAACACGCACGGGTTGTCTCGAGCAAACAAACAATTGGCTGACATCTGAATGGTTCAGTTTGAGAAGCAATCTTTGCAGTCTAGTTTGTGAGGCTCTGTAGTTTCTCACCGGAAATTACACAAAAGCGTGGTAATCTGTACAACTTGGCCCGGAAAAGAGTTTCATTTCTAAAGATAAACCGAAATCAATACCAACTTGGGTCAGAAATCTTCTGAATTCCTCTACAGTGACAAATCGCAAATAAAAGAGGCCGTAGGATGTGAGAACAATAAGACTGGGACAATCAGCGTGCTATATCCGTGTGACACGGAGTAATTTTCGGATCCCGGATACAACCGATATAATGAATTCCGAATTTGCACAAAAGTTTAATAGTTGAACTCCGTTAAAGCGCCGAAATAAATATGACCGTGTTATGTGTTATTCTTCATGATTCTTACTGTGGCAGTGTTGTAGCAACGAGATTGGTTGTCATTTTCCAGAGAAGATAAGTACCGCTAAAACTGGACAGCAAAGCATGATAAAATCCATTTGTCACAAGTGAACGTGATACGAAATGAGCATTGCGAAAATGACCGGAAATTGGTTGACTATTTGGCGGATCTATGTGAAACACGTTCACAGGAGTTTCAGAGGAAAACGGTAGTGAGTTGAACAAGTTGCAAATACTGAATGGGTGAATGAGAAACAAAAAAATTAAATATCCAGGAAAGAGATCGTCCTACATGAAATCTTTTGACACATTTGCTCAAAGCAATAATGAAGGGAACAAAGAGGAAAATAAAGATCAGTTGCACCTGGGTAGCCATCAACTGATCACCGTCTGCATATACTGTATCATTCTTATGTTTATAATATTGTTCATGAACCAGAACAACGTTTCACAAGAGTGGTGTTTAAACATTGGGATCGTTGTTCAGAAAGGTAACTGTACCGGAAGGACCAGGTTGAAATTAAGGTCAGATATTTTCATGTAGAAAAACAACGATTTTCGCCCACTTCCTGCTCCATTTTTCTGACGTTAACTGAACCCTGGCTCTTTCACCCGAAAAGCATGTGTTACCACAGCACCAGCCCGCTCCCCACCGGGCCAATCCGAATCACTCAGTTTATGTTCGCACACATGTCATCCTCTATGACAGTCAGCAATGTTCGACGGCCTTGAAGAAAGATGTGGCATCTGTCCACGTTAACTCCAGTCGAACGCCACCCATCAGGTCAGGTATTCTCCACAGGATGGGACAACGTACATATATATTTCAATCAAATTCGCGTTTGATATTTGTATTTACTTCACAAAAACGTTCGGGTAGCATGGAGGAATGATGGTACTTTCCTGGATCACTGTCCGTTGAACTCCACTGTCATAGACGACGCATCAGTATGAACTTAAACTCGGTTATTCGCACCAGGCTGGTCGGGTGCACGGGGCGCAATGGTAGCACATGCCTTCGATCAGAAGAAGCATGGGCTCACACGTTTGTTGCGTCGGAGGTTTTCTACCAATAATATGCTCTAGCAAAAGCGAAACTCTTTTCCGGGCTCTTTAAAACGCAGTGTTGTTCAGATACCATGAGGTTTGGGCGTGAAAGGTGAAGTCCAAAATACACTCAGCCATCAATCCCACATGCCAATCTCAAGTAACTTCGAGATAATTAAAGATTAAATTATCTATAATTTTACCCGACACTACGTTTTTCACGGCTAATGGGGAGTGAGGTCATCGTTTGAAGCTGTTAGAGATTAGTGTCGAGAAGCTTGACCTATCAACTGAGGGTTATCATGTCAACAGAAGTTGAAATTCGCTGTTATTCAACTTAGGATTTCAGAGCTAACAGGTTTTACGAAAAATTATAACACCTTCGTTTATTATTCGAAACAAAACCATCCAACCAGGAAGACTGTTTTGCCTGAATGGAAATATTATCCTTTAGGTGCACCTAGCAAACATCAGTTTATCAGTTGCCCTCACATGTCATTCCTGATATTGAAATTATTCTCCCTTGCGCAACAGATCAACCAGTGGATATTTCCTAATATACCCCATTAGTTGAATAGGCGAATGAACTCTCTGTAATACGAATCTATTTCGTATGCGACCAAAAAAACTACTCCAAATTGACTTTGCATGTAAAGCTGGTCACATTCAACTCTACTGAAGTCTCGCTCGATCATGACTTCATCCTGATAGCCCACGACTCGCACCGTCCAGTCTGATGTGAGTAGTTTGCTCCTTGTATTCTCGGGTTGGTATTGTAGGTGGATGTTATTTAACTGTTGTTTTACAGTCACTCTCCCTGAATCATTAGAAAGTTACGTTTTTTCTGACGCCAAGTTTGAAAGCCATGATTCTCATTTTTGCATGAGAAAGAAATTTAATGATGTTATGGATGTGCATATCACACAGTTCGGACGCACCTAGTTCATCCGTGCTGCAAACCCAAAGAAGGTCCCTAAACATCAATTCAATTCGAGCGGAAACGACTTGCGAAAGCCTCGGTGAAATGTTTCAATCCCTGAATGCGACATCATATGTCGCGCGGTGGTTAAGCTTAAGTTACGCGCACACATGGATTCATATCCTGCCAATGAAGAAAAGCTTTTCTCACAAACGGCTGGATCCAAAGTAGTTCGGTTTTCAATACTGAAGTGCTAGCCTAGAATAACATTAGCAAACTGATA